TGTCTTAGATTATTTAGTAGTTAGGGGTAATTCAGTCGCGTGTGCTTTAGTTACCTACAACTAAGGGAAAACGGAAATGAAATAATTTCACGACAAATATTCAACTGCATATTAATTACTTTTTGAATCAATGATTAGTGTTAAATTTCGGTGGTGGATCTTTACTAACCAAGGTTTTCTATTATAAGTGTTTTCAATATATTATTTTCATTGCTTTATTCGTTCATTTAAATTTCTTGTTTATTTAAATTCTCTTTTATTTAATATTTATTCTCGTTATATTCCAAACCCACATCATTTCCTTAAGCATAAAAGTTAAACTAGTTACTCCTCGTGGGATCGACCCTTACTCCCGCTACTACGTTTGTAAGGTTCTAATTTGGGAGCCTACGACAGCTCGCCAAATTTTGGCGTCGTTGCCGGGGAGCTTTTCTAGCTTATTTTGTGTTTATTTAATTATTTAATTGTTTATTTGTTTTTTTCCTCATTAATTTGTCCCAAAAAAAAAATCTTTTCTTTCATTACCTTTACATAATTACTACAATATCTTTCGAGGTTTATGCCTATAACTCGATCCGCTAATCAAGAAATCTTGCCATACGATCCAGAAATTGAAAGAACTATACGCAGGTGGAGGAAACAAGCTTTGAAGAAATTGGAGTTTAGTGATCTAGCTACCGATCTCCAATCTTCCACCAATTTTGATTTAGAAGAGGAACCCATAGCTCAAAATCGGACCTTAAAAAAGCTTGGAGCTCCAAATTTAGATCAGCAACCTTTATGCATCACTTTTCTCGCTCTAGATGCCAATGTACAATTCGAATTAAAACCTGGATTAATTCATCTTTAGCCTTCTTTTCAATGACTTGCAGGTGAAGATCCACACAAGCACTTAAAGGAATTCCATGTGGTGTGTTCAAGTATGAAACTCATAGGAGTTACTAAAGAACAAATCAAGTTGAGAGCCTTTCCCTTTTCGTTGAAAGATTAAGCGAAGGATTGGCTATACTATCTACCTTCTGGGAGCATCACCACATGGAATAACTTGAAGACAGTGTTTCGTGAAAAATATTTCCCAGCTTCAAGGGCGGCCAACATTATAAAGGAAATCTGTGGTATAAGGCAAAACAATGGAGAGTCAATGTATGAATATTGGGAGCGTTTCAAAAAGCTTTGTGCAAGTTGCCCACATCATCAAATCAGTGATCAATTACTCAGGGTGCCTGGATTTATTATCATATTCTCCCCATGATCCATCCACGAGAGCAGAAGGTAAGGTTGCCCTTCCCTAATCTGATTTTTGGAGTTCTAACAACTCAGGGCCTTGAGCCAATGCCTAGTGAGGTGATCAGTCCGACTCTACTCTATACTGTTGACCGTCGACTTTTGACTGGAGACCATATTTGTGATGTTACACTGGTGATTGCTCCCTCCAATTCTGAAGCTGATACAGTGGCTGATGATTCGCCGCATGCAAGGGATCTCCAACTTTCTATTTAGTTGAAGACAAGGGTCTCTGAGCTTGAGAATATTCACGGCATAATTGCGAAACAGCTGACAGGGGCTCGTACTGAATTGGCCACCGTTCTTCTTCGTTTAAGCTTGTCTGAATCTGTTGCTACTGAACATGCGAAGTCTGACAGTGAGACTCCCTCCAATGCTTGATCATACTTTGGCTATCATTGGCAAAAAGGGGGAGTATGAACTCAGGGGGAGTGTTTATGTGTTTTTGTGTACCTTCTGGCCCTGGCTGGGCGTTGATTGTGATGGCATCACTTTTTTTTTTGTTTGAAGAATGTTTATGACTGTTGTTTTGATTCAGCATGACTTGTATGCTGTGTTTTATTTCCGCTATGCTTTGTAATCAGATATTTGGTTTGGTTTTTATGCTAGCCTATCTTAGTTCTTTCAGTTTGTGTCTTTATACGTAGTCGAGTTGTTTTGCCAAATAATAGCCAAAGGGGGAGTTTGTTAGTGTTTTAATTGCTCAAAAAACCCCAACTTATAATTGGCAATATTATTATGGCAAACTAAGATATGATTAGCTTAGTGTCGGTTTTGTTCTACAGAGGACTGATCAATCAGATACAACAACAGAAGGACTGACACTGAAGATCTGTTTTAGGAAGCTGTTTCCTTAAAGGCTGTACGCGGTTTAAAGAAGACAGAATTGGAAAGAAGATCAGAGTATCTGTCTTGGAAAGGTATGGACCGAATCTTTAAGATTACATTCTTCAAATATTGTCCTACCATCTACAATCAAAGATATCTATGGAGAGTGTTCTTACTATGGAACTATAAGTACTCTTATTCGACAAGAATTAGGATTACGCTTTTAAGAAGGAAGAAACAATCCAAACCAGTTTTATGAGATCAGATCTTTGATTATCATGCATCTTCTCAATACAACATGTTCATGGTGATTATGATGAAGAACTTGAGAAGAATTATTGTTGCTTAAACGAAAGGACACTATGATCACACAGTTGTGGGAACAACCGAGAAGAGCGTCATTGAAGTGGACTGCATCAGAATTGGCTCTCCAAGTGAAGGGATTTCATTGGACTTCTGTATGCATGGCTCTCCACCTTCAACAATCCACTAAACATGTGTAGACTGGGTACGTACCTTGTGTGGGACACTTGGGTGAGATTATTGTTTCTCTACCTTTGTACATTGGATTATGATTTAGTGGATTGGACGCCTATGTGATCGTCCCCCGGACGTAGATACACATTGTATCGAACTGGGTAAACATCTTGTGTGTTGCTTTGTGCCGTTACCTCTTTCTATAAACATCTCAATGATCTGCCTTACTGACTGAGTTCATCGTTGAATCAGTCAGTTCATTTCATCAGTTGGTTAATCCAGTTAATTTGATTAAAAATAAGGAAATGCAAAATTACAAGGTAAATATTTCTGCTCTTGAACAACAAATTTCTGGTTTAACTACTCTTGTTCGTCAATTAGCTGTAGGCAATATGCAAACTGTAAACACATGTGGAATCTGTTCGGTAATTGGACACCAAACTGATGCCTACCCAACTCTTCAATAAGAACCTATTGAACAAGTTAACATGGATGGAGGTTTTCCTGGACAACCTCAAGGTAAGTATGATCCGTTTTCTAATAAATATAATCTTGGATGCAGGGATCACCCGAACCTTAGCTATGGAAACTCACAAGGGAACCAGATTGTTCAGAATCATCCCAATTTTCAGCAGTATAGACAACCATTTCCTTCCAAACAGCAACCAGTCCAAAGCTGTAGCTCAGGTATGAACCTTGAAGATATTGTTAAATCTCTTGCTACTAACACTTTGCAGTTTCAGCAAGAAACATAACAATTCCAACAAGAAACAAGAGCTAGTATTCAAGAAACAAATGCTAGTATTCAGAACTTGGAAAGACAGATGGGCCAACTAGAACCTATGGTAAGTCGGTTGGAAGCACAGAGTTTTGGCAAACTACCCTCTCAAACGGTGGTTAATCCAAGAGAAAATGCAAGTGCAATTGTGCTGAGAAGTGGTAAGGAAATTGAAGGTCCTGCGATTGCTACCCCATCAGTGAACCAAGAAGAAGAGGGAACTAGCAACAATGAAAATTCTCAAGGTAAGTCTCCCAATCTTTCTAATTATGAACTAGTTCCCCCATTCCCTCAAGCTTTGTCAAAATCTATTAAAGGAACGAAAGATGAAGAGTTATATGAAACTTTCAAAAATTGTGAAGTGAATATTCCATTACTTGATGCAATAAAACAAGTTCCTAGATATGCTAAATTCTTAAAGGAGTTGTGTACAACAAAAAATGAAACAAAAGTCAAAAAAAGGTGAGAAAGTGCTAATGGGTAAGAATGTTTCTGCTGTGATTCAAAGCAAGCTTCCTGAAAAATGCAAGGATCCAAGTATGTTTACTATTCCTTGTATGATAGGCGATACTAAACTTGAGAAAGCCATGCTAGACTTAGGAGCATCTATTAATGTTATGCCATATTCTGTCTATGTTTCTTTAAAACTTGGACCTTTGAATGAAACTAATGTAGTTATCCAGTTGGCTGATAGGTCTAATGCATACCCCAGGGGTGTAATTGAAGATGTATTGTTGCAAGTTAATAATTTAATCTTCCCTACTGATTTCTATGTGCTAGATATGGAAAATAATGATCATTCTGCACTTATTCTGTTAGGGAGACCATTTTTAAAAACTGCAAAAACAAAAATTGATATTCACAGTGGTACACTTACTATGGAATTTGATGGTAATGTTGTTACATTCAATATTTATGACGCTGTGAAATACCCTGGGGGTGATAACTCTGCTTATTCTGTTGATATTATTGATTCATTGGTTGAAGAAGTTTTTGAATTTAATGGTGAAGATAACTTGGAAGTTGTTATTTGTGAACACCTTGAAAAAGGAAATAATGAGTTTGCTCGGAGTGACAATTTACATGAAGTTATTGCATCATTGAATCATTGTCCTAAATTGCACCAACAAAATAATGTTTCTTATATGGCTTTACTTGTCTCTATCAAAAAATTGTTACCATTTGTCGTGCAGGAACCTATCCCTGAGTTGAAACCCCTTCCCAAACACTTTAAATATGCTTTCTTAGGAGAAAATAAAACATTGTCAGTCATAATTTCAACTAAACTTTCTGCAATAGAAGAGGAAAAACTTGTCCAAGTGCTAAAAGAACACAAAACTGCCATTGGGTGGACAATTGCAGACATCAAAGGGATAAGTCCATCCACTTGCATGCACCGAATCCTTCTAGAGGAAGGAGCAGAACCATCTTGTCAACCACAAAGAAGGCTATACAGGAAAAAAAATAGATACGCGAAATCTCTCTCTAGAAATCCTCTCTAGAGTTCTGCCTCCTTGCTAGGGTTTCTCCTAGGGTTTCGATTTTTTCTTGCTTTCTCTTTGTCGTTCACGGACGAAAGCTACTGCTGGGAGGGTTAACGACGACAAGGGCTACTGCTGCGCCGAGCAGGCTGATGGATCCGACGGTGCATGAGATCGATGATGGACCTCCGGCGCTCAAACGGGCGGATGAGGTCATAGAGCGCTTAACACAATGTTGGGGCGATATAGCGTTGGAGGAGGAGGAGGAGATCAGATTTGAGCTGGTGGGGGAGGGCGTTGGAGTAGTGGCGGAGGAGGAGGAACGGCAGTGGGTGTGTGTCGGTAGGTTCTTGACGACAAAGGTGGTGAAGTTGGAGTACATGCGGCATGTGATGGCCTCTGTTTGGCAACCGGTGTGGGGTATGCAGGTTACGGAGATTCAACCGGGATTGTTTATGTTCATCTTTTATGATGAAACGGATATGCAGAGGGTCCTGGATGAAGGGCCGTGGTCTTTTGATAATAGCACCCTCGTTTGTAAACAAGTGGAATCTGGTACAAGGCCGGCAGCGGTTAAGTTAAACTCGGTGGATATGTGGGTACAACTATATGACTTACCGTTGGGATATACTTCTGAAGCGGTTCTTGAGCAAGCAGCCAATTTTATTGGTTCATTTGTAAAAGTTGATGATCGTTATCCGGGTGCACCATGGAAGACGTTTCACCGGGTCCGTGTATCAATACCGGTGGATAAGCCACTAAAACAGAGGATGAAACTTATTAAGCGAGATAAGACAAGCTGCTGGGTAAATTTCCAGTACGAACGCTTACATAATTTTTGCTTTCATTGTGGTTTACTGGGGCATGCCTATAAATTTTGTAAGCTGGCAAGGAAATCAGGGCTCACTGCGGATAAATTTCCCTATACGGCGGACCTGAAGGCGGGGGGAGGTAGCCGGGGGCCAAGACAAGTGGGGGATCCATGGTTGTACCGCTAGATGGGAAGGGGAGGAGTGTGATGGGAGGGGAGGGGATGGAAAGATGGGAGGTACGGCTTTGGGTGATGTTGCGGGTGGAGGGGGAGCACGGGTTGGGGAAGAGAGGGCGGGTGAGGGGGTGGTGGTAGCGGCCTCTAAGAGAAGGAGGGGGGATGGGGTGGATGGTGGCAGTATAAGGATGGATGCAGGGAATGTGGTGATGTCTGAGTTCTCAAAAAACGGATTTACGGCGGGTCCTGGTGGTCAGGCCCGCCCATCTCAATGAGTACAATAAGCTGGAACTGTCGTGGCTTGGGCAATCCACAGACAGTTCGTGAAGTGGTGGACATGGTGTCCCGTAAGAAGCCCGATTTCGTCTACTTAATGGAAACTAAAGTAGATCGGAGTCATGCAGAAAGATTACGTATTAAGATTGGTTTTGAGGGTCTGTTCTATGTGGATCCAGATAGGAGAGGGGGTGGCTTAGCATTATTATGGAAAAAGATCAATACTGCTAGGCTGTTGAGTTATCCAAAGAATTATGTGGATGTGGAGGTAGCAATAAGGGAGAAGGTATGGCGTATGACATGTTTCTATGGGTTCCCACAGAGGCATAGACGCAGGGAGGCATGGCAATTGTTGAGTGGTTTAAAGGACAAGTCTACACTGCCTTGGGTGGCTTTGGGAGACTTTAATGATTTGTTATACCAGCGCGAGAAGAGAGGGGGGAATCCCCACCCGGATAGTCTACTGAGAGGCTCTGGAGATACTGTATACAATTGTGGACTTGTCCAATTGCCAATGCGAGGTCACCAGTTTACATGGGAGAAGGGGAAAGGGACTGATAGGTGGTTGGAGGAAAGGCTGGATAAGGTGTTGGTGTCTACACGATGGACTACTTTGCATACTGAGGCGTGTGTTGAAAATATTCTAACCCGAAAATTTGATCACTCTGCTCTCTTCCTGAACACTGATACTATACGGGGCCGCAGATATGGGGGACCGAAACGGTTTCGCTTTGAGATGGCATGGGTTCATGATGATGGTTGTCGGGGGTAGTGGAGACTGCCTGGCAGGATAGTAGGGATAAGGGGCTGTTGATTTGTCAGCAGCATTGTGGAGGAAGGCTAATGCGGTGGGGTGGGGAGCATTGGCATAAATTTGGTGACCGTATAAAGCAATTGAGAAAAGAACAGGATGAGCTGCGTCACAGACAGGATTCGGCTGCATTGGCCGAGTTTCGCGATCTAGAGGAGAGACTGGGACAATTGGAGATGCAGGAGGATGTATTTTGGAGGCAGCGGGCGAAACAGCACTGGCTGCATGGTACAGATTGCAATACCAAATTCTATCACAGGTACGCTTCTGCTCGTAGAAGGAAAAATTATATTCCTAGATTAAAAAATGATGTGGGTGCATGGGTGGATGGGGAAAATATGAGGAAAGTTGTTTTGGAGTATTATGCTGCTATTTTTACATCATCAAACACTGAATGTGAGGATCCCATGTTTGATAATTTTACCCCCCGTGTGACTAGTGAGCAGAACACTATGCTCCTTCGCCAGTTTGAAATAGAGGAGGTCAGGAGTGCTTTATTTGCAATGTTTCCTGATAAAGCATCAGGACCGGATGGTATGAACCCTGAGTTCTACCAGGAATATTGGGATATTGTAGGGGGAGATGTGTCTGAATTTATTGTGAATTGTTTAAATTCGGGCTCACTTCCTGAGGGATTGAATGATACTAATGTGGTTTTAATTTCGAAGAAAGATGTGCCTGAAACGGTAGCTGATATGAGACCAATAGCACTGAGTAATGTTCTGTACAGAATCATGGCAAAGGTAATAGCCAATAGGATGAAACCACTTATGGGGAACCTCATCTCAGAGGCCCAGAGTGCTTTTATTCCTGGGATACTTATTACTGATAATATTTTAATAGCTGCAAAGGTGGGGCATTATTTAAATAGAAAGCAGTGTGGTAGGAAGGGGTGGGCGGCATTGAAGTTGGATATGGCCAAGGCATATGATAGGATGGAATGACAATTTCTGAGAAGAATGTTGGAGGTAATGGGTTTTGATGACCGGTGGATTAATTTGTTGATGCAGTGCGTTACTACTGTCCAATATAACATCCTGATTAATGGTGTTAATAGTGGGGGTGTAACGCCAGCCAGGGGACTACGACAGGGAGATCCATTGTCTCCATATTTATTTCTCATATATGCTGAAGGGTTATCTATGTTATTGCAAAGAGCGCAAATAACTGGCTTAATACATGGCTGCAGAGTTGCTAGGGGAGCCCCACAGATATCACATCTATTTTTTGCAGATGATAGCCTATTATTTTTTAAAGCAGATGATAGGGAGGCAGAAGTAATTAAACAGTGCTTGGGACGATATGAGGAGCTATCAGGACAGAAGGTGAACTATCACAAGTCCAGTGTCTGTTTTAGCAGAAATACCAGTGTGGAGGACAGGGAAGTGGTGGCAAATTGCTTACAGGTAGACCAGGCACCCAACTTTGGGAAATATCTGGGGTTACCATCTTTTGTGGGGAGAAATAAGAGGGCAGTGTCCTCATATATTGAGGATAAGATAAAACAGAGAATTAGCTCATGGAACAAGAAATTTCTGACACAGGCAGGGAAGGAAATTCTATTGAAAAGCGTGGCACAATCTATGCCTACCTTTTCAATGAGTGTCTTCTTGATTCCGGACACGGTGTGTTTATCAATCCAGAGAACAATGAACAAGTATTAGTGGGGCACTGGTATGGATAGAGGAATACACTGGAAAGCTTGGGATAAGCTGAGTATCCCAAAGAAATATGGAGGAATGGGATTTAAAGATCTCAAGAATTTTAATCTAGCAATGTTGGGAAAGCAGGCATGGCGTCTACTCACAAGTCCAGACACACTTGTTGCAAAAGTCTATAAGGCAAGGTACTATCCGAATACCACTTTTATTGATGCCAAGGTAGGACGATGCCCAAGCCACTCATGGAGAAGTATTATGGCAGCTCATGATAGGGTGGTGGCACGGGTGCGCAGGAGGATAGGGGATGGTAAAACGACACTAATATGGGGACACCCATGGTTACCTGATAATCCTAGCCCTTTGGTACAGACTGATATGCCTGTAGAGCTCAGGCATGCTAAAGTGGTAAGTTTAATAGATGAACAGACTGCTACCTGGGACCCACATATTTTAGCAGATTTATTTGATGAGGAGTCACATATTTTAGCAGATTTATTTGATGAGGAGGATGTGAATAGAATACTGAGGATACCTGTCAGTCCGGGGTATGAGGACTCATGGTATTGGCCCGATGACCCCAATGGGATATATACGGTTAAAAATGCCTACAGAAACATTATGGGTATTTATGATCACTCACCCGAGGATTTTGAGAAATGGACTAAAATGTGGGGAATGAAGATATCCCCAAAATGGAAGACTTTTTTATGGAGAACAATTTGTGATGTTCTTCCAACAACTAACAACTTAATTATAAAGAGGGTGGAAGTGGATCCCACATGCCAAATGTGTGGGCTAGCACATGAGAATGTTATGCATACATTCATCAATTGTGATTATTCTAAACATGTTTGGAATATTTCAGGATTGCCAATAACAAATATTGTTGTCAACTCATTCCCCGAGTGGCTAACGATTGTGCTTACAATGTTCACAGAGGATCAAAGTGCAGCCGTGGTAGCATTGCTTTATCGCTTATGAAGGTGCAGAAATTCAGCCGTATGGGACGGCACATTGCCGCACCCTACGGCGGCTTGGAGGCAGGCCACGGGGGTACTACACTCCTACCAGCAAGTAGCACGCCGCGGCACATCACCTCCAACGGCAGCTACGGCGGACAACAATGGCGTCACTATCCCACGATGCTATGTGGATGCGGGATACCGGGAAGACACGGGAGAGGCTGCATACGGTATTGTGTTGCTGTCTCCAGAGGGATCTTTCTTAGCGGCAAAAAATGGAAGACTACCGAATTGCTTGTCGCCGTTTATGGCGGAGGCTTTGGCATGTAAGGAAGCTCTATCCTGGCTATTGGAGAAGAATATAACAACAGTATCCCTTCAAACAGACTGTTTACAGCTCAGGAATGCTATACGACAGAGATCAACTATCATAATGTCCTATGTTGGAGTAATAGTAGACCATGTAAGAATTTAATTTCGTCTTTTAATTATGTCTTGTTAAATCATATTTCTAGGCAGATTAATGCGCATGCGCATACGTTAGCTTCATTAGCTTTTATTCAGGATCAAACTATTTTATTCAGGATCAAACTATGTATTGGGATTATATCCACCTGACTGCATTGCATCTTTGATTCATTAATACAATCATTCATTGGTTGGCTTTCAAAAAAAAAGTATACAGAAAAAATACTTACAGAATAGTCTAAAAATTAACTCACTCAACCCTCCCAATCAATCTCCGGTCACATCTCAAATCACACATATGACCCTTGCTTGTCTCGTTAATCATTTGTAATAGCCATTGGTATTTAAGCTTAACTTGCTTCCAAGTACTTAAATGAATGGACCTCATCAGCTCTTATCAACAATCAAATTATTTATTAAATGCAAAATTTCCAACTTGAACCATTTGATAATGACACATACACCCAAAGTCTCTTCCGTGCCTTTCAAGGCAAAATTTCCTCGCTCCGAATACCTCACATCTTGATCAAATAAAATAATAAATGAATAAATCAACAATAATTCAATGACTTATTAAATTAAAAAAAAAAATAGTATCCACCACATTCAGTGTAATTTTCACACTGTAATTATTAAGATTTAATTGTTTTTTTCTTTATAATTTACCACCTTAAAACAAACTGGGTTGTTTTTATAGAGAATCCAAAATCTATTTCTAGATGTAGGATTTCCAGTAACATTCACGCAAACGTTTTTGGTACAAATTCCTATATTACATGTTTTGTTCGCTTCAATTCGTCTTCCTTAACGCATCCCCTTTCTTATCTTCAAGAATTCAACTCCACCACCACCACTCCCCTCTCTTCCTTTCCCGGCGGCCGGCGGTCACCAAACCTACCGGCTACTCCTCTCCTCTCTCCGATTTCAGTTCTTGAATCGTCAGAGCACATCAGATCTGCAAAGATGATGCACATGACCTTCTACTGGGGCAAAAAGGTGACCCTTTTGTTCGATTTCTGGAAAACCGATTCTTGGACCAGCTACACCCTAACCTTGCTGGCCTGTCTCATCTTCGCCGTCTTCTACCAGTACATGGAGGAGGGCCGCCAGAGGTTCAAGCTAATCTCCTCCCTCAGCGCCAAGAAGGGCTTCGCTGGCGCCAACTCGGTTCCGCCACCGTCTCAGCCGAGCCGCATCAACGCGCCGCTCCTTTACTCCCTCCCGACCGTGGGTGGCCGCCGGTATGCGGCGAGGTTCGCCGGGGCTGTGCTTTTCGGGGTCAACTCCGCGATCGGGTACATGCTGATGCTAGCCATCATGTCGTTCAACGCCGGCGTGCTGATCGCCATCGTGGTGGGCCTCTCCGTGGGGTACCTGCACTTCCGGAGCGGTGGCGAGGAGGACGTCGTGGTGGTGGATAATCCCTGCGCCTGTGCTTGAAATTCGATACCCTTTCCAGTCTCAATCCCCAACCTTAATCTATTATCGTCATATGTATTAATGTATATATACAATATATATATTCTGAATGGATTGAAACTGTTTTTCATTTTCTATTTTATCTTTTTTTGCTTTTCTAGAAATTGCAATTTCTATTACTCCTAACTTGTATTATTATTGTGCGTTACGGAATGAATTTGTTATAATATTTTAAAAATATTTAGATCGATATACAATTGCATAAATTATAACATTGAATATCATATAATACAATTGAAAAATTGAGTTAGATCGATTATGTTTTCTGATGTTATCATTGCTTAAATTCGAGCAAATAATTGTCCAATTAATAACTAACATGTAGATATATGTATATGGTGTTAAAACTTTAGAGACTTTATATATCAGTGTTTAAGATTTGTATTAATTGGGCTAATTAGCTCGTTGTCTAGCAACTTAGTTATATAAATTATTTGTACGTAATATATATTTTCTAGGTAGATATATAGCAATTTTGTCATCTTTGTATAAAAAGAGAAGATAATATCACTGGTTTGAATTACACATTATTGAAAACATCTTTATAGACGACATTGGTAGTAATAACATAATTTTGTCCATCCTCATTTAGAGCTAAAACCTTCAGGTCATCAGAATGGGTGACTCGGGATAAAGCCACGTACAATTGACCATGATGAAAGATCAATTTTTTCATCAACAACCCAACGTGAGTTAGTGTTTGGCCCTGGCTTTTATTGATAGTCATGGCATATGCGAGCATCAACAGGAATTGTTTACGCTGGAACTTGAAGGGCAATCTCATATCAAAAGGGGTGAGAGACATTCGGGGGATAAGAACTTTGCTTTCTTGATGTGTCCCATTAACTATTCTTGTTTCGACAATATGATCTGTCAATCTTGTGATGATGAGGCGCGTACCGTTGCAAAGACCAAGAGAGTGGTCTATGTTCTGCAATAACATAACAGGTGCACCAACCTTTAATGTCAATGAATAATGAGGAAGTCCAGACAATCTCAAACTATTTAAGAATTCAGAAGTGTGTAGTTATCATAGATTTTCACAACTTAACTATGTTCGACCTCCTGCAGTGTTCATGTCACACATGTACTGATTAATTTGATCAACGACATCTAAAGTCGGTGAGAGGATCGCCCGGACTTCTAGGTGCGACTCATCAAGCATGTCATATCTCGCGCTTGGGAAGGTGCTTTCCACTATAGTTACTATGGGATCGGGTCCACACTTCAACAGAAACCATGTCGAAATATCGATCTCAAACCCTGTAATCACATCTCCGATGTTTGCAATCCATTTTGAAAATCAATCAACTGTCTATCTATCTTCCTCTAAAGCTAAGTTCCGTAGTCTCAAGTTCTTCGTGAGCCCCAATACCTTGCACCTTCTTCGCGAGCCCCATTACCTTGCAATTTGTCCAGAAGTATGAAGAATTAATAGTTGCTCCGACAACTATTGGTCTCGTTACTTTCAGAAAAACTAGAAGAATCTGTCTAAAATCACCGCCCAAAACTACTGTCTTTCCACCAAATGTCTTTTCAGCACTACCCGGTATGGCGAACCTCAATAGATACCTCATGATTTTGCCCAAAGCCTCAAAACAGTGTTAATATATTAGATAATGCTATATAAAATTATAGTGAATATATAATACGGAGTATTAATTTTCGTAATAGAAATGCGATTCTAATATATTACTTACCGTACAGTTATCTATACAAATATGAATATTAGTTAATTGGTTGGGGTTCAGCCTTTGGAAGAATGAATATTAATTAATTGGTAAAAAAATTAATAAAGCTTAATTGGTAACAAAACTTTATATAAAAATTTAATAATGGGCTTGTTTGGTTATCAGCGGTTAGCGGTAGCAGATTGTATTAGCGGTTATCAAATAACGGATTGTATTAGCGGGTTTGACCATCGAATTGTACTAGTTATTTGTAAAAAAATGTTTGTTAAATTAGCTGTTTAGATTAGCGGTTAATATGTAAAATGACCAAAAGGGTAATAATAATAATACTAATAAAAATAAACAAATTGATGTAATAATAATAATAATAATAATAATAATAATAATAATAATAATAATAATAATAATAATAATAATAATAATGAAAATAATAATAATAAAATAATAATAATAATAATAATAATAATAATAATAATAATAATAATAATAATAATAATAATAATAATAATAATAAAATTACTAAAAAAAAAAAAAAAACTAAAATTGATGTGGGATCTTTGATCCCACATCGAAATGTGAAGGAAATGGAGGCGTTGAGCTCCCCATTATGGAAATAATAATAATAATAATGTGAAGGAAAAGGGGAGCTCAACGCCCCTTATTCATTCTGGCCTATCCGATGTGGAACATCGGATGGGCAGGAAAAAAGAAGCGTCAGGCTTTTTTATTAAAATTATTATTAACCAAAAGAGTTAGAAAAATAGAATTAAGTTTATTTTGGGCAAAAGCCCAAAACGCCATTCTGAAATGCTGCACATAGCAGCGTTTCAGATTTTGGCGGTTTGGAACAAATTCGCTGCTCCAAACCGCCATTTACTAAACATAGTTTTCAGTGTTTTGACATGGTCAAAACGCTGAAAACGGTGGATCCGCCAAAATTTTGACGGATCCCTTTTTAAGTACATATTTACTTTAATTTGTAATACCAATTAATTAGATATTATTAGTATATATTGACTAATAAATTACAAAATTTTATATGGAACATTCCTATAATGAATTGGAAAAAGAAGTAGTTAATTAATGATATGAAAAATTCCAACGAAATTCTAATATATTAGTTATAATTTTCATAGAAAATTGTAGCCAATATATACTAATAATTTTGTAATACAAATGAGATTTTAATATATTACTTAACGTACACTAATTTATACTAATATCAATATTAATTAATTGGTAAAAAAAATTAGTAAAGTTTAATTGGTATTATGATTATATATTACCTTCTGCTATTATATATATATATATATATATATATATATATATATATATATATATATATATATATATATATAGAGGGTTGAGTTCAAATGAGGACAACAATATATAGAGGATTGTGAGGACAAATAATGAGCACACAACTTAATACAAAATGGCACACAAGAATAAATGTAAACATCAGGTTTCGAACCCAGACTCTATAAATTAACAAATCTAGCACGCGACATACAAACTGTGGCACACGACTACATTCGGCCATGCACACAACATATCGACTAATGGCACACACTACATCTGTCCTCACAGTCCTCTATAATATACTTGTCCTCATTTGAATACACACACACACACACACACACACACACACACACACACACACACACACACACACACACACACACACACACACACACACACATATATATATATATATATATATATATATATATATATATATATACTTAGTCTATATATATAATGACCTTATAGAGTTAGTCTATAAGTTAGGAGACGTTTTCTAACTATTCTTAGTATTGTAATCTCTATCTTCTAATCTGAATTGTATATGTGCAATTATATATGATGAGAGAGAATAATACAATTCAGATTAGAAGATAGAGATTACAATACTAAGAATAGTTAGAAAACGTCTCCTAACTTATAGACTAACTCTATAAGGTCATTATATATATAGACTAACTATATATACATATATATATATATATATATATATATATATATATATATATATATATATATATATATATATATAGACTTGCACTCGGGTGCGAACGGCTCGCCTAGGCGCGAAATAGGAATGGATTCTGTTCGTCCACGTGTCCAGATCTAATGGATGAGAAACACTGATTTTTAAAAAAAATGCGGTGACATTTTCGTAAATAATTGAACATCGAGGTGCAAGTAAAATGTATTACAAGTGCATGTAAAATGTATCATAGGTGCAAGTAAAAATTTACACTGAGCATCAATACTTAGTTGCACTAATAGTTCTAAGTAGTTGCACCAATAGTTCTAAGTAGTTGCACACATAGGTATAAGTAGTTGCATCTAGGTGTATGAATGTTTGCGAGTGGTTTTCAGGAGTATTACTACCCGCGAACTCAGATCAATGAATGTTAACAAGGCAAAATTACATGCACTTATAGGTGAAAGTAGGTGCACATATAGTTATAAGTAGTTGCACCTATAGTTATAAATAGTTGCACAGATAGTTACAAGCACACCCAGGTGCATGAATGGTTGCGGAAAGTGAATGCTAACAAGGCAAAATTACATGCACTAATAGGTGAAAATAGGTGCACTTATAAGAGATTTTACTTGCACTTCGATGTTCAATTATTTACGAAAATGCCACCGCGTTTTTTTTTTAAGTTATTAGATCTGGACACGTGTCGCGCGCTGATTCGTTCGCATTTCCTTCCTGAGCACTTATTCACACCTGAGTGCGTCCCTATATATATATATATATATATATATATATATATATATATATATAATCATAATAGCAGAAAGTCATTATATATGATTAGATAGAATAATACAATTCAGATTACAAGATAGAGATTACAATACTAAGAATAGTTAGAAAACGTCTCCTAACTTATAGACTAACTCTAGTCAGACAATCTCAAACCACACAATTATTAACTAATTACAATAAGGAAATAATAGCGTAACAATAACATTATTAACACAGCCCCTCAAGCACAAGGTTGATGTGTGACAACGTTGAGCTTGTCCCGAAGAGCTTGAAAGCGCGGTCCTGGCAGCGGTTTGGTAAAGATATCTGCCAGCTGATCTTTATTATACACAAAATTGACAACGAAGCCCCCTGACGCCACCTTGTCCCGAACGAAATTATAATCAATCTCAACATGTTTCGTCCTGGCATGAAAAACAGGATTGGCGTAGAGATACGTTGTGCCGAGGTTATCACACCACAGGGTAGAAGGCTAACCGAAGGTGTTAACGGCTTGAGTGACAGCAGCAGGAATGGTTAACGGTTTAAAGTCTAACATACCTGCTCGATTAAGTATGTCGCTCATGTAGCGACGTTGTGAGAGTAACAGCCCACCATCGACTTTCAGTGTTTCAATGCCAAGAAAGAACCCCGGAGTCCCTAGGTCTCTAATCTTGAACATAGTGGAAAGCTGACTGATACTCTATCTTGTGCCGAAGATAGGGGTAAACACATGATTGTGGGCTTTGAAACTGTAACACCTAGGTGGGTAAATAATTTATAAGGCATATAGCTGTTTCAAAAGCATAGTCCCAGTATTGTAGAGGGATAGAGCTCTCAGCTAGTAGAGCTAGCCCGATTTCAATAATATGTCTGTTCCAGCGCTCAACTCTACCGTTTTGCTCGTGCGTGTAAGCACATCATTGCCTATGGTTTATGCTAAGGGATTGGAAAGTATTATGTAATTTGCGGTATCCACCCCCTAAATCGGATTGTATGGACTTGATAGAATGCGAGAATTGGCGTTCTACCATGACGCGAAACGACTCAAAAATTTTATAAATATTTGATTTTACCCGTAAGGGATAAAACCAGGTAAATCGCGAATAATCATCTACAAATAAAAGGAAATAACGGAAACCACTAGCAGAAACTACCGGGGCCGGACCCCAAATATCTGTATACAATAAATCTAATACATTTTTGCTAGTAGAATGGACCCTATCTAACGGAAACCATGATGACTTGCCAAGGTGGCAAGCTGCGCACGAGCCCATCATCTTGGAATTATTGAGATCGACCGGACAGCTTTGTAGAATTTTATTTAGAACATAACCATGAGGATGGCCCAATCTGTGGTGCCACATCATGGGAGTGGAATGGGAATTGAGAAAGGCAAAATTTGACCAAGCACCGGAAGTGTGTATAGACCACCTGACACAGGACCATTAAGCATAATTTCCCTAGTGATTGAATCCTTCACAATAAAACAGTTTTTGTGAAATTAAAAAAAAAAAACGTTGTTGTCATTAGTAAAGCGCTGAACTGATAGTAAAGGAACTGACAAATCTGGCACATATAATACATTGGATAATTTCAAACATTTTGACAGGGAAGGTATAAATGCTGAACCATCGTGTGAAATTACCAAACCCGTGCCATTACTGACTCGCAGGACATCACCGTCGTTGTACTCGTCAGATTGAGACATCATGGTGGAATCGGGTGTAGCATGCGCGGACGCCCGCGTGTCCGGGAACCAGCTGGTGACTGTGCTGGTGGACGCCGCTTCATCTCCGGGAATGGCTAAATTGGCTTGAGCAGGCTGCTAAGTGGTGTACCGCTTATAGCAATAAATGGCAGTATGCCCATGCGACAGGCAGATCTGACACCTCGGAGGACCGCTACGACCTCCGTGGCCGCCGCGACCTTGGCCATTGCTACCACCTCGTCCACACCCCTACTTGTGATGGCCACTGTTTCCACCATCTCCGTTTTGGTTGTGGCTACGGCCAGCGTACATCGCGGAAGAAGAACCACCAACCGCGCCGGGAACTGCCGTCGGGTAGTCATCAGCGATGATGAACTCTTGTGCTTGTAGAAAATTAGACAATTGCTGTAA